TATATTTTAATTCCGAAGATTAATCGTCATTAAGTTTGTTAGCGAAATAAGGTTATACAGTACATTGATACTGATATTAATATTGGCAATTGTTCTGCGACTGATGTTGATCTCGTGAAAAGACTATTTTTTGAGACAAGGGCGTATCGGTGTCTCTAAACACATGCATCAGTAAGTGATTAATAAGCTGTTCGTGGCTTATGCAGCGGATGTGAGGACCGGTCGTCTCGAGATTGTTTCGGTCAGTACGTCGTCGAATTGACTCTTTTTCTGCCTGAATACTAGTGATAGGCGGGTTAAACGTGTAGCTTGGGTAATTGTAGTAGTAGCATGTAATTATAATGCACGTGACAAGTATACATACGTACACATTAAAAGTGAGGTGATTACAAACTGTAGGGATAACGTCAACCAATTATGTCCTTATGTTTATATTAATCAAAGTAATGGGCAAGCAAACAGCTAAAAACATCAAACAATGGCAGTTCAATCTAATTGAGGTTAACAAAAACCCAATCGAACTACTACTCCATTGTCATCTACATAGAGCTTCTAATATACGCACTTCCCATAACTCTCCACTCCTTACAAGTTCTTTTGTCATTAGGGTAGTTTGACAGGAATTGCTTCAAAGAGAATGTCATCTTGAACTTAACAGTCAAATTACGTTATTATTATGGGATGAAAGCAATCCTGTCCGATTTTTTTACTCGAGTGAAGATGTATCGGTTGTAGGTAATAGGTAATACATCACATGGATCATGATAAAAAAACGCTGCGACTGGCAGACGATTGACAGTCATATTGACAAGTTATTATTGTTTTCATTGTTCCTTATTTCACTAATTTGTTATTTCACGCAAACAACATCCCATTCCAGCGCTACATCATTCAATTATAAAGAGGAGGCTTGTGAATGACTATGACGTCACAAAAAATTTTTGTTTACTTCTTAACGCGTGAGGGCTTTGTTTTGCCACACGAATTGTTTCGCATGCCCATTCTTTTCAAGAGCTCACTCGAAACCACTATCTATTAGCACGCTACCATTGATGCTCCTGCAAAAGTAATCGTGAGTACTAAAAGCGAGTGCCCGCTTAATTATGTAAATCATTCTTATACCAGATCCACTTATCCTGATCTTTCATCGCATGCAGCACTTACGTATTCGTTCAAGCACTATCACTTACGCTCTTACCTTGCAACCTGTGAGTATCATAAAAAGCGATTCTGACATTTTGTGTGTCCTTATAACAGTGCGAACTGTTGCATTCTGTTTGTGCATGTTCATGAAACTTAGTTTTCTCTATATCATTTCAGACACCAGAACACTATGTCGGATCAACCATACGTACCCAGGCAAAAACATCCTCGCTCTCGCTCACTTGATTCTTATGGGAGGCGGACAAGTAAAGGCTCAAGGGAGCAGAGGGCAGATAGAAGCACCCAGAACAGAGACAGGAAAGATAGCTGGACAGAAGCCAGGACAGAGATCGAGACCGCGGAAGCTTTCGTCGTACATTATATGGGGCAGACTGCAACAAAACCAGACAAAGTGAACATTCTGTTTTGTGACATAAATGAGAGGCTGATTATGATGTGGCTGTAAAATTGACCAGTGTGACTGATGACATTTTGTAAAGTAATAATGGTACTCATTCATAACTTATTATTATAGACTTGTTAATTTTAATGCTCACTTTATCATACCAGGTGAGGATTATAAACCATAATAGGAGTAATATAGGATTACCTCTATATAAAAATATAAATATGAAGCTAATTTACATTAAATCCAACATGGAACCCAAGAATTACAGCACTATTAGAAGCATTCTAAAGAAAACTCAAAGTGAAAAAATTGCTCCCTATGTTTTTAAAATGAATGACACTAAAATTCTCGAGGAATATCTAGATCAAGAAAAAATTACTTATGAAATTTACCAGGAAGAACGAAAAATAATAAGCCATAAACGAACATTAAACCCAACTTATGATGAACCAAGAAAAAAACAAAAATTAGAAGAAACGTAAGGGGAATAAATTTAACGTAAAAGCTTCTAAGCCTCCACTGATCGACGATCCGTTAACGGAAGTTTGTTCCTTATTGATAAAGACTGCTCAAACGCATTCATTGAGCATTGATCATATGTCGCTACTTTGACACCATTTCAATTAAAGAGTCAAACAATGTAAAAATAATTCAATTTTTCTGTAAGCATGAATTTTATTATTTCGATTATTGAATGCACGCGCTTGAAATAATAGTAAAAGCACCAGCGTGATTGCATGGGAGGAAAATACTCGGAC